CTTCCTCGACGGGCAGGCTCTAGGCAGTGCGAGGGTCGTCTTGTAGATGCCGCGTGACCCTGCCCGTCGAGCGCCCGACGGCTGAGGTCGGCGTCGGCGGTGAGCACCGCGAACACCGTGGCCGTACCGTACGGCTAGCCAGGAGGTGAGGAAGACGGGCGCAGCCCCGGTGCAGCCTCGCCCGCCTTAGGCTTACCCTTGCCCAACAAGAAGCAAGGCGGCGTGCCTCGGCAGAGCGACAGCCCCTGTGTGCCTCCCCGTGTGGCACGCCTGGGCGGCGGGTGGCCTACCCCGCCCTGGGGCAGGGGCGAGGGGTAGTCGAGCTTCGCGTCGCTCCCGAGGGATGGCGCCACCTTTGTCTCATAATGAGTAAACAAACATCAAGCAAACATGGTGCATCCCTAAAGTTAACAAGACCGGGTCATATGGGAATTTAACAAAGTTTTGGCATGGAATGCCTTTATGCCAGTCGCTGTCATCGTGCGACTATGATCTCCTTTGAACTGTGCTCCAGATTGTTTGGAAGATTATAATATTTTGAGGTCGGCGATGGTCGGCTACCTGCTGCCTAATTACATTGTGGCTGCTAGAGGTTATCCTAAGGACCTGTAAGTTAGACCTAAAACTTTATCATATCAGATTACTTGTAATAGATATGGACCATGAGGTGAATGACATTTACTGCTGCTACTAACTAATGTACCCTTCGTCAATTCACCTTGGATGGACCGTGGTGCTTGTGTGCAGGAAATTTCATTTCATGAGACATCCAGTGAATGCTCAAATATACCAGGGCATGCAGGTGAACTATCTCTTTAAATGTAAAGTGAGCAAACACATCACTATGAAGGGTCATTACATGACACATTGGCCATACGATTGTTTTGAACATGATTATCCTTTACATTTGACCGATGAAATGAAATTGTGTTGGGCCGAACAAAATCTCTGTTGGGTTTTAGTCGGACAACCTAAAGGTACTATTCAGACCAGGTTTCGTTGATTTTCAGCTACCACGTATTTGAGATAGACACTTTTTTCTACTTTACATTTAATTTTGAGGACCTTATAATTTTTTGACCAAAATCTGCTTCAGATCATTTTAATCAGCATCTAAAACTGGTTTAAAAGCAATTTTGTCCTGGTCAATATATTAATTTTTTGTATATTTTACAAAGCATTTAAATGGCTAAAACACACTAAAATACCCAATATTGAGAAAACTAAACGGGAAATTTCCCAAACTTCTCCCAGTGTTTTTTGGGTGTAGTTGGTCATACTAAATGAAAATTTTGACAATTTAAA